TCTGGGCGGGCTGGCAGCGGGATTTGGGTTTTCCTTGGTGTTTCTGGAGCGTGCACACGCCGTGCACGAGCACAGGGGAGATTTATGGCTCTCCAAAGATTCTTCCTAAAATATTTACAAAGTGGAGTTTGACTCGGGAATGTTTGACTCGGCCATGGCTGTCAGGCCTCTGGGTGGCATGAGGGGGGAATATAAACAGACCTTTTTTTCCATTCCCAAAAAAAATCCTATAAACCTTTTATCCGTTCCCCCCCCCCCCCCCCCCCCGCCATTGTTCTCCATTTTCCGGTGCCAGGTTTGAGCCTATTTTGGAGTGAAAATCAAAATAAATTCTGTTTTGCTGGACAGACTGGGTTAGGACTGGTGATGTTAAAGGACAGAGATTATTTCCTTTCCCTTTCCCTTTTCCTTCCCATTTCATGTGATTTCCTCAGAATTTTCACATTTTTGAGCCAATCCAGTTAGAAGCCCTTTTCCCAGAAGGGCCAAAGCTGATTATTTCTGTGTCTTTCCCCCCAAAAATCCAAATTCCCCTTTTCTTTGGCCATGGTGGGGACTGACCATCACTCAACCATTGTGATAGAGGAGAAATCCATAAAATTCCTTCACTTTATTCCCACTTTGCCACGAGGATGGAACAGATCACACCCGAGTTCAGGTTTGTTTAAAAAAAATAATATCAAACAGCTTTTTATTTCATTTTATTTTACCTTATTTTATTTCCCCCCCCCCCAAGGTTCAGGATAAATGGTACAAATGTAATAAATGTAAACTGCACTTGGCACCGTCGGGGTCAATAAATAACATAAAAAAGGGAGCGAGCGTTGGAGGCGTTTGGGAGGCGGCGCTTTGGGATCTAAATAAATAACATAAGTTACTTCCAATAAATAGCAGTATCCAAAATACAGATGCATTGCATCCACTTCTGCAGCCGGGCATGGGCCCGGCCATTCCGGAGGGGAACAGCAAAATCCGGATGGTGCCGGCGGCGCTGGAACAGGAATCCCTTCTCCCCCTTCTCCCTTTTCTACCTTTTATTTTTTTCCTTTTTCTCCCTTTTTTTATTCCCCTTTTTTTTTCATTTTTCCCCTTTTTTATTTTTCCCTTTTTTCTCCTTTCCTCCCTCTTTAATTTCCTTTTTTCTCCTTTTTCCTCTTTTTTCCCCTTTTCTCCCCTTTTCCCTTTTCTCCCTTTTCCTTTTCCCCCTTTCTCTTCACCCTCTTTCCCCTTCTTTTCTTTTTATTTCCTTTTCGCCCTTCCCCCTTTTTCCTATTATATTTTTCCTTTTTGCCCCTTTTCTCTTTTTACCTCTTTCCCTTACCTTCTCCTCTTTCCCCTATTTCCACTTTTCCATTTTAATTGCTCTTTTCCTTCCTTCCCTTTTTCCTTTTTTTTTTTGCCTTTTTTCCTTTTTTCCCTTTTTCCCCTTTTCCCTTTTTTTCTCCTTTATCTTTTTCCCCTCTTTTTCTTTTTTCTCCTCCCCCCCTTTTTCCTTTCTCCCTTTTTTCCTTCCCCCTTTTTTTCTTTTTTCTCCTCCCCCCCTTTTTTCTTTCTCCCTTTTTTCCTTCCCCCCCCTTTTTTTCTTTTTTCTCCCCCCCTTTTTCCTCAGTTTTCTTTTATTTCCTTTTCTCCCCCTTTCTCTCGTGCCTCCCCTTTGAGGCCACGCTTTGTTTAGCCCAGAAGGAAAACACGTGGCAGCCCCGTTCCCAATTTACCATCTGAGGCTCTGAATCCCACCAAAACATCGTTTCTCGTGATAAATTGGGAAAATCCTTTATCCCAGCAGGATCCTGGAGCTGTTTAAACCCAGAACATTCCCTCTGCCAGCGCTTCCATCGAGTGAAAACGACGATGAAATTTCCCCAATTTCCCCCAATTTGGATCCCAAATTGGACCCTGGGAGTGAATGAGATCCCGAGGGATTTATGGGATTTGTGGGTCTGATCCCAAAATCAGCGTGTCCTGATGGAAAACCCACTGGAAATCCCAGAACTCGCCGTGGCAGGGCTGGGAGAGCACAACCCTGGGGTTTTGCGCTGTCACAACCACCAGGATCAATTGAAACATCTCCAAACCTCCTGCTCCTCAAACCCTGCAGCCCCAGACAGACAAAAACCCAACCCCAAAATCCCCCCAACAGCTGTTGCACACTGGTTATTATTGTTATTATTAATATTAACCAGCACATGGGATGCTGAGGAAGGAGCCAGATGAGATTCTGCTGAGGCTTTGAGGAGGGAATTTTCCACTTTTTTTTTCTGTTTTTTTTTTTTTTTTTGCATTGTAGACATTCTTCCGGGCTGCTCCAGCTCCTATTACAGCAGAGGGGGCTGGAGAAATGGAAAGCATTAGGGAAACCTCAGCCTTTCTATTGGAACCACATTTCCAGGGCTGGTTGGCAGCGGGATGGCACCGGGACAGCTGGAGGAGCTCCACGAGGAGGACGAGGAGCCCTGAAGAAGGCATGGAAGCAGAACCCATCCTTTGGGCCACACCACGATGCCCCAGCTCGCCCCATCGGGGAGTTTTGTGGCTGTAAATCCCAGCTGTTCCCAAAAAAAAAACCCAGCAGGAGCAGTGGGAGGCAGATGGGGAACATCCCCTCCGCACGGGCCGGAGCTGCGCTGCCAGCAGGGGGAAATTAAAAACAAAAAAAATACAAAAAAATGATGGATTGGAGCTATTCCTGCTGGGTTTAACGCACCATTGCGTTGAGTCAGGTTTTCCTCCTGGTTCTGGGGGCTCCAAGCTGGATTTGCAGTGGGAATGGGGGATTTTGGGAGATGTCCCTTGTCCCCTTGTCCTCCTTGCTGCTTCCAGCTCTACCCTGGCAAGAAGAGGGTCCCTTGGGCCCACCATCAAGGCACCCTAAATCCCTGGATTCTGCCAAAAACTGCCCCAAACCAGGGTGCAAACGCTGAGCAGAGGCAGCTCCTGCTCCAAACCCTCCTCTGCAGCACCAGGTCCTGCTCTGCTTCCACACCACCTTCCCTGCCCTGCTTCCATTCCTTTTCCCTTACTGCAACAAAACTAATTTTAGTTTTATAGCAGCGAGAGCTGGAAAGCACCCAAGCCCTTGAGAGGACGGTTATTATTATTATTATCATTATTATTATTAGATTTGGGTGCTTTTTTTTTTCCTTAAACTCGAGTGAGCCGCTAATCCACAGCTCCTGCTGCCCATCTGCCATTCCCATCCTCCAGCTGATTCTTTTGGGCCACTTTTCCCATTTCCAGCTAAAACCAGGCATGCAAACTCACACCTTGGTTGGGGAGCTGCACCTGGATTGTGGAGTTTATCCACTCTCAGTTCCCATTTCTTGGGTGCAGGTTTTGCACCCTATACCTACAGCTGCCTCCTGCCTTTCCCAAAATCCAGGGAAAACTCCGTGTCACAGACTCCAGGCTGCCTTCCCGGGCTGCCAGCCCTGCTGAGGGATGGTGTTTATATTCCTCCACTACACCCTGGCTCCGCTCAGCCAAGAGCTGCCTTTGGATAAAAAGGAAAAAGAAATAATCCCCACCAGGCTGGGCCTGCGTGGAGGTCGGGAATGTGGCTGGTCCAACACGAGATGCTGCTCCCCATCCCATGCCAAGGGATGCCACCCTGCTCCCCCAGTGCTGCAGCACCATCCCTGAGCTGGGATCACCACCAGCAGCCCTCCTCCTCCTCGAGATGAAGGCACAAGGGATTTTCCCCCCCGTTTGTCCGGAGAGAGGAGCCAGGACAGGGGGGTGGCACTCGGAGTGTTTTCCCTCACGTTGGTTAATGCCCAGGACATGACACCAATATTCTCCTTCTGTTTATGATTTGCCTTTTCTGGGAAGGGAGCCAAGGGGAGAAAACCCATCAATCCCAGGCAACAGCTCGAGCCTGCCCAGGGAATGTGAGAGCCTGCGGGCTCATTTATTTCCCCGCAGAGTAAACAGCAGTGACACTGCTGTAAATGTGAGCAGAGCCAAAGCCAGGCCTGAGTCCCCTCTCCTGCAGGATCCCAGCCCCGAGCAGAGCACGGGGGATGCTCCCAGGAGAGCTGGGGGCATTTTGGGAGACGCCAAAGCAGGGATGCTCCTGCCCGTGCCACTCTGCTGGTGGCCCTGGGGAGGTTCTGTCACCTTCCTGGTGGTGGCCGGGCTCTGGCCCAGCTGCCTGTGGCAGGGGCACAGGAGGTTAATCCAGTTACTTCAGATTATCCCGAGTTGTAAGAAGAAAAGCCCCAGGGCTGCAGGAGTGAGACGATGGCAAAAGGGGCACAAGTCAGAGGGAGTCAGAGCCACACACAAATCACTCTCAGGGTTTCTGTGTCCCCAAACACCGGGATCTGGGTTGGTGGGACCTCCCCCAGCAGCTCAGGGTGGTCACAAAACCCCAAAGCTGCAGAGAGAAAGACTCAGCTCCCACCCTGGGGCAGCACAGGGCACCTGACGCACCCCAAACCTGTAACGCACCCTAAAACACACCCAGAGTGTGCAGCACACCCCAAAACACACCCCAGGTGTACAGCACACCCCAAAACACACCCGGAGTGTGCAGCACACCCCAAAACACACCCCAGGTGTGCAGCACACCCTGTCCAGTACCACACAGCACCGGCACTGCCCACAACACCCCCTGCACATGCCACACCCCTGTGCCACACCCCTGCGCCACACCCTGACACAGAACCCCCTGGCATGTGTGTGTGTGTCCCTCATGCCAGAGACACCTGCGCTGCACCACCCCTGTGCAGGTAATGTAGCCTGTGACACGTGTGACATATGTGACACCTGTGACACGCAGTGCAGCCCATGGGCATGTCGCACACCCACTGTCACCTCAGCAGGCACCTCTGGGCCACCACAGAGGGGACAACAGCCTTGAGCCACCGCCATCTCTCCAGCCACCCTGCCACAGCGGCGGCCACGTCTCTAGTCCGGTGACGGTGACACCGAGGGACACGCCAGCGGCTCAGTCTCTCCTCCTCTGGCCGCCCCGGCCTCCATCGCAGCCGTCCCCCGTGTCACACGCAGCCGCACTCCTTGGCCGACAGCTCGTTGACGGTGTAGTAGCGGTTGTAGGCGTCCAGGAAGGAGACGTCGTCGTCGTAGGCCAGCGGCCTGCAGCAGGGCCGCGCGCGGATCTTCTCCTTCCGGATCTTTCTGCGGCTCCTCATGCTCTTGAGGGAGAGGTCGTAGCTGCGCACGGCGGCCTCGCAGGTGCCGCTGCAGTAGCGGAACAGCACGGTCTCGTCCGACTCGTAGCCCAGGCCCAGCTCGCTGACGCTGACCTCGAGCTCGCGCAGCTCGCAGGGTTTGTGGCGGGCGCGGGCGCGCTTGCGGCGGCCGCCGGCGCGGGGGAACAGTGGCAGCTCGTGCCCGCCCGAGTTCACGGCCTGGCGGTAGCGCTCCACCAGCGCCGACAGCAGCTGGCGCATCTCGCCCTCCGTGTAGCTCTCCAGCAAGGCGCTGTCTGCAGGAGGAGGGGACACGGTTAGAGGGTGGCCCTGTGGAGGGTGAGGGGGGTGAGGGTGGCCTGAGGGGGGAGATCCTCCATGGTGAGGATCTGGGGGTCATGGAGGGGCCTTGGGGTGGGTGGATAATGTCAGAATGGAGATTCCCTGGGGTGGGTGCATAACCTCAAAATGGAGATTCCCTCAGGATGGAGATTCCCTGGGGCGGGTGGATGACCTCAGGATGGAGATTGCCTGGGGTAGGTGGATAACCTCAGGATGGACGTGCCTTGGGGTGGGTGGATACCCCCCAGGATGGAGACTCCTTGGAGTTGGTAAATCCCTCCAGGAAAAAGGTTCCTTGGGGTTCGTGACTCCCAGGATTGAGATTCCCATGGTGTGTTAACATCCACCTGTATGGAGGCCACCTGAGATGGGATATCCTCCATGGCTCAGAACCTCAGGATCCTCCAGGATGGAGGTGCCTTAAGGTGGATGGATGATCCCCAGGATGGAAACTCCCTGAGGTGGGAGGACATCCCCAGAATGAAAATCCCCTGGAGTGGGTTCCCTAGGATGGAGGTCCCTTGGGGCAGGTGGATTTGGGGAGAAGCCCTATTTGCACTGTTCCACTGTGGTCTGGGACCCCCAAGAGCCCTTGAGACCCCAGGGCCAGCACCAACACACAAACTGTGCCCAGCACTGCTGGCAAAACCCCCATCCCTCTGTCCCAGCCCTAAATCCAGGGTTATTCCAGCTCAGCTCTGCAGGAGGCACAGGAAAGGCAGAGGAAAGCGTGATCTGACAGCTTGTCATCGATTTCCAGATTTCCACCCAAAAACAAAAGCAGTTCCTCTGGTTTGGAATCAAAACAAACACGTGGGGATTTCCAGCCCTCAGGGAGCGCCGAGGGGTGAGCAGGAGGAGCTGCTGCCGTGCCCTCATCTTCAGCTCCTGTTTGACATTTTCCATTTGTAAAAAATAGCACGGAACATTAAAAAAAATTACCAAAAAAAGGGAACCATTTGGAAGGGAATAAAAGCAGCTTCTTTTCTTTGCAGGAACTGAGCTGTTTGAGTTCCCCTCTGTGGAGAGCTGCTGTGCTCACACCACTTTGGTGCCCAGCGCCTCCTGCTCGCCCCAAATTCTTGTTTAAATGCTCCTAAAGGGGATGTTGGGATGCAGGAGAGGGCAGGGAGTGACCCCAGAGGGATTTGAGGGATCTGTGGGGCCGGGATGGGGGGACAGTGACCCCGGGCTGGAGGAGCAGAGCTTACACTGGGCCAGCAGAGAGCCGTGGCGTTGAAGCGCCCGTGGGGATCTCCGCAGCGAGGAGGAGGAGGAGGAGGAAGAAGAGGAGGAAGAGGAGGAATCCCGTGAGGAAGACGGCGAGGAAGGCAAGGGGCTGAGTTCCCGGCTTCCGCTGAACATGTCTCTACAAACTAAAATGGATAACATGGAACTGAGGAGCATCGATGCAATGGCTGCAAACTTCCATACCTTCATCTTAGAGCAAGTCAGAACATTGAAACTCTGCAAAACAGGCAAAACAAACATCCTTAATGTGTGCCCCCAGCCCCCAGAGCCCCTCACCTCCCTCCCTCCCTCACGTCAGGATGGGGGATCCTTCCCCTGGGACCCCCTTGGCTCCAGCTCCTCCCTTCCCAACACCAGCACGGTGCTGAGATGGGAAACTGAGGCACGAGGGGCCTGGGCTGGGAGAATGGCCATGGAAAAGGTGCCTTGGGGACAAGGTGGCAATGGGGACGAGGTGGTACCAATGGGGACGAGGTGGCACCAATGGGGATGGGGTGGCACCAGCGGGGATGAGGTGGCACCAATAGGGATGAAGTGGCACCAATAGGGATGAGGTGGCACCAATAGGGCCAAGGTGGCGCCAATGGGGACAATGGGGATGACACAACCTCCATCGCCAGGGGGGCTCAGCCCCCTTTGTCCTGCTGTGGGCCAGAGCAGGGCTGTGACACTCGATCCCCCCACCTGAGAAAGTGCCTCTGGCTTCTTGCAGCCCCATAAAACTTTAGGAGAGCGGTTCCAGCCTCGCTGCACGTCCCATAAAACAGCAGCCTCCCATTCCGGCAATCCTGGCCCCCACCCACTCGCCTGTGACCTTTCGAAAGACTCAAATCCCGGCTCCAAAGTGCAAAACAATAACAACAAAGTTATTCCAGGCTTTGCTGTTGGTTTCTTTTTGCTCTAAAAAGCCCCAGAGCAGCCCCGTCCAACCTGGCCTTGGACACTTCCAGGGATGACGGCGTTTCCACTTGTTTTTCCTGATAAATCAAAATCCAGCAGACGTTTTTTGCCCACAAAAAAGAGAGCATTTGGGTTTCTCTGGTGCCCCTCACTTTTCACACTCTCACTTTTCCCCATCCCTCTCGTTTTTCAACCCCACTCCCAGTTTTTCCAGCAGACTCTTGGGATTTGTTCCCAATATCTTAATGCCCACAGAGGGAGAAAAGTGAATTTATTATTTTTTTTTCCCTAAATCCTCCTTGCTGAAGGGTTGAAAGAAGGAGATGCCAAAACTTTCAGTGCTGATGCTTCAAAGCAGAGGACCCAAAAGACATTATATTCTAAGTGTGCCATAAATTTTCCGTCGATTCATGTTTCCGGGCATTGATTCATTATTTTCCAGAGCCCAGCCTCAAGAATGGATGGAGCCACGGTGTGGCCGAAGGATTTTTGGCAACACAAAGCGCTTGGAAAGACAGAGGCCTTGATGGGACATCAGAGAGAGCTTCCACCTGCCACACACTGTTTATTTGAGTGCCTTACATGGGAGCCAAGCTGCTTTGAAATCCCGGCTCCTCATGACTCATCCCGCAGGAATTAAACAATTTCCATGGGCAGCAGCTCCAGAGGCTGCTCCTCCAGCAGCAGCTCCGGCTCAACGCCTGGTCCTGCTCACAGGATGGGGCTGGGCTGTCCCGGAGACGATGAGGGTGGTGGAGAGACAGACTGTTCCCAAGACAGCCTCAGATCTTCCCCAAAATTGCCTCAGATTTTCCCCAAAAACTCCCCCAGACCATAGGAAAAACTCCCTCAGACTTTCCCCAAAATCTTCTTCAGATTGTCCCTAAAGTTCTTCAGATTTTACCCCAAAACTTCCTCAGACTGTCCCTAAAACTCCTCCAGATTTTCCCCAAAACTTCTTCAGATGTTACCCCAAAACTTCCTCAGATTGTCCTCAAAACTCCTCCAGATTTTCCCCAAAACTTCTTCTGATTTTCCCCAAAAAACTTCCTCATACTGTCCCTAAACTCCTTCAGATTTTCCCCCAAACTTCTTCAGATTTTACCCCAAGAACTTCCTCACATTGTCCCCAAAATTCCTTCTGATTTTCCCCAAAACTTCTTCAGCCCATTCCAAAATTGCATCAGACCTTCCCCAAAACTTACCACAATCTCCCAAAGTACTTTCTTGGGGGTTGAACTGTGAGGGCTGGAGCCTGCAGCGCCCCTGGATCAAACTGGTCTCAAAATGCCAAAACTGACCCCAAAACTGGAGCATTGAAAGGGGGAAAAGCCCCAAACCCTGATCTGGGGTGGACCTGTTGAATTTTCTTGCTCTTTTGACAGCAATTGGGTGCACAAAGGAGGGGAAATGTCCCTGTCCCCATCTCCAGCTCTGCTCTCAGCTCATCCCTGCTCCTCCTCCTCCTCCCCTGCAGCTCTCCCCAGTCCCCCCGAGCAGAGCCAGAGCGCAGTGTGGGACACATGGTTCTGCTTTGCCTCGGTGAAACCCAGCCCAGCAGCTCCAGAGCTCTGCCCCAGCTCCCCCCAGAGCCCCCCAAAGGGCCGACCACAAAGCAGGCACAGCCCCAGCCCTGGGATGCAGCCCTGCTGCTCTGGGGAAGGGCTGGGGGAGCCCAGGGAGGGAAATGGGGTGGGGGAGAGGGAAATGGGGAGGGGGAGAGGGAAATGGGGAGGGTGGAGAGGGAAATGGGGTGGGGGAGAGGGAAATGGAGGGGTGGAGAGGGAAATGGGAGGGTGGAGAGGAAAATGGGATGCTGGAGAGGGAAATGGGATGCTGGAGAGGAAAGGGAGATGGTGGAGAAGGAGGTGGGATGGTGGAGAGGAAAATGGGATGAGGGAGAGGAAAATGGGATGGAAGAGAGGGAGATGGGAGGGTGGAGAAGGAGGTGGGGTGGGGGAGAGGAAAATGGGGTGGAGGAGAGGGAAATAGGATGGGGGAGAGTGAAGTGGGATGGAGGAGAGGGAAATGGGACGGAGAAGAGTGAAGTGGGATGGTGCAGAGGAAAATGGAAGGGTGGATAGGGAGATGGGACAGAGGAGAGGGAGATAGGGTGGAGGAGAAGGAGATGGGATGGTGGATAAGGAGTGGGATGGTGCAGAAGGAGTGGGATGGTGCAGAAGGTGGGGTGGCGGATGGTGTGGGGCAGGAGCACCTCCAGCACTCCCAGAGCCCCAGGCTGAGCAGCCAAGCCCTCGTTCATTCCCACGCTGCCATGACATTTACGTTCGGGCTGAATTACGGCGGGTTTGGTTTACGTCTCTCCAAACAGCTGCAGAGCAACAAACCCACCCTCGACACGGTGGGAATAATAAGGAAGAGCCTCCCCTGCCGAGCCTGTGGGATGGGGATGGATGGGCCAGGGCACCCCGTGGTGCTGGGAGCGGTGCCGGGGTGGTGGCCACGCCAAGTCGTGGTTGGAGGAGGAAGCCTGGGGAGCTTCCACCCAACAGAGCAGCTCTTGCTGTGGCCACATCCACATTCCCACCATTCCGTGGAGTCACGGAGTCCCAGACTGGTCTGGGTTGTGTAAGGGACCTTAAAGCCCATCCAGTGGCACCCCTGCTATGGGTAGGGACACCTTCCACACCTTCCACACCTTCCTCACCTTCCTCACCTTCCTCACCTTCCTCACCTTCCTCACCTTCCACACTTTCCACTCTCCCAGGCTGTTCCAAGTCCCACCCAACCCAGTTTGTAATTTTCCCTCATTTTGGATTTGACAGAGCCAAACCAGCTCAAAGGAGGAGGCACCAGGACAAGGCAGGGATCTGGGGACACTGCCCCATCCATTTCCACATCCCAGACACCAAAGGGCATCACCTTTGCATGGGACCCCCAGAGCCCCCCATCCCAAATTCCCAAATCCCAACAGTTCCTGTTGGAACAGAACAAATCCTGCCAGAGAGGGGTCTGGAAGCTCTTCCAGGACGGAACGGAGCACAGAGGAGGAAAATCCCAAATCGTGCCAGGGCCAAGGGGCACCTTGAGCCATCCCTGCATGGCATCCTGTGCCCGAGCCCAGCCGGTTTGCACGGGGAGAAGCCAAATCCCCCGGGATGGAAATCCCGGCAGGAACACAGCTCTGATGGCCCCAAAACAGAGACCCCGCGGCCACGACCCCCCTGTGTCTCCCCACCCCCAGGAGCTGCCCCCAGACCCATTTTGGGGCTGGATTCGTGCAGGGAATCCCCGGGGCAGGGGTCTCACCGCGTCCCGCGGGGTCCCCGCTCCCTCCATCCGCGCCGGCGCTGGGAGCCGCCGGCCCGCGGGGATGGATCCATGCCCTGGGAAGCTGCGGAGCCGCCTTTGATTCCTTCCCCGGAGGTCTCGCGTGGGCTTTCATGTCATTAATTAGCGGGATCCGCAGAGCGGGGCCGAGCGCGGGGGTTTCCACCCCTGCCGGGACCAGTTCAGTCCCAGTTCAGCCCCAGTTCAGCCCCAGTTCAGCCCCAGTTCAGCCCAGGCTGGGCTCGGCCCGTCCCTGCAAGGGCAGATAATGATGCTGCACGCCCCGGCTTCCCGCGGCTCCCCCCCGTGCCGCCGCAGGCTGGGAATGCAGCTGCAATATAAATCAGCAGCGAATACAAGCGGGGTTTGATGCAGCGCAGCCCCTGCAGTGTCACCCAGCCCGGCCCGGGGACACCTGGGGGTGTCTGTGCAGGGCCCGGGGGGACACCTGGCCGGGATGTGCCCCCCGACACCGCCCAGCCCCGACACACATCATCAAACCCCGCACATTTCGGGGAGATTTCTTCGCTTTCCAGCTAAAATGCAGCCAAAGCGTTTAAAAGTCATTGTGGGGAGGGCACGGGTGGTGTGCTTCCAGTTTGTGCTCCCAGTTTGTGCTCCCAGTTTGTGTTCCCAGTTTGTGCTCCCAATTGGTGTTCCCAGTTTCTATTCCAGTTTGTGTTCCAGTTTGCGTTCCCATTTTGCGCTGCTCCCACTTTGCGCTCCCAGTTTGTGCTGCTCCCTGTTTGCGTTCCCAGTTTGCGCTCCCAGTTTGTGTTCCCGGCCCAGTGTTCCCATTTTGTGTTCCCAGTTTGTGCTGCTCCCAGCCCAGTGTTCCCAGTTTGTGCTCCCATTTTGCGCTCCCAGTTTGTGCTCCCATTTTGCGCTCCCAGTTTGTGTTCCCAGTTTGTGCTGCTCCCACGTTCCCAGTTTCTGTTCCAGTTTGTGCTCCCAGCCCAGTGTTCCCAATTTGTGTTCCCAGTTTGCGCTCCCAGTTTGCGCTCCCAGCCCAGTGTCCCCATTGACCCTTCGAGGTGTCGCAGCCCTGCCAAGGTCACCGCGGCTGCAGCAAAACCCAGACCCCTCCCTAAGCCGATTCCGTCAGGTCTAAGCAGCAGCAAGAGCCGCCCTTCTCGGGAAGAGGTGAGTAATTAGAGATTAATTACTGATAAAATCCTTCAGGGCATTGCCCGAGGGCTGCAGCCGGAGCAGAGCCTGGTTCCAGGTGAATAACACCGAAACCGAGCGGGGATGTCTGCAGGAAAACTCCCCGCAGACAGATCCCCGCTGCTGAAGGGTAGAGAAAATCAAATTACATCGCTTGAAATCCCACCAAAACCAGCATGGTTTATGTGGCCACGGAGGAAATCAGGGATAACACCGGCCAAGGACCCCCCAGCCGCTGCTGGGCGCCTTTGGGTGCTGCTGTGCCAATCTTTGCACGCCTGGTGCTGCTTCTCCAGCCCGAATTTCCCCTCTCGTGCCAAAACCTGGACTCTAAATGTCAATTATTTTTGGATGAGGAGCGACGCCCCCCCCCTCCCCGGAATTAATAAACCTCCCGATGCCAAAAAGGGGCGGTTTGTCAGAGGAAACTAATTACTGTGGCTTGTTTGAACAATCCCAGTGCCTCGGGAAAGAGGGTTAAAAGCTTAAATTTTGGCAGCGAGACGGAGCCCAGGCCCCAGATGTGCTTTGCTCTGGGCCCGTTTCGACACCGCTGGTATCTGAGAGCTGCCACGGCTGCGCTGGGGGCAAAAATCTCCTTTTTTTCCAGGAAAGGAAAAGCCCTCGGTGGGATCAGGGAGGGAGGAATAGGCCACAGGCAGGAGGGGTCACCTCCACAGCACAGCTTGGCTGGTTTGTAGGGTTTCCTCCATTGAGGATTCCCCAAATCCCTTGGAGGGTCATGGTGCCTCAGGGTGCCTCAGTTTCCCCCTTGGAAAAACACCTTGAAGGTGTTGATTCCTGATTTTCTCAGGGTTCTACCTAGGAAATATCCAGGTATTAATTCCTGATTTTCCAGAGGTTCCACCTGGGAAATATCGAGGTATTGATTCCTGATTTTCCCGGCGTTCCACCTGGTAAATATCCAGGTATTCATTCCTGATTTTCCTGGGGTTCCACCTAGGAAATATCCAGATATGAATTCCTGATTTTCCTGGAGTTCCAACAGGGAAATATCCAGGTATTGATTCCTGATTTTCCCAGGGTTCCAACAGGGAAATATCCAGGTATTAATTCCTGATTTTCCCGCGGTTTCACCTAGTAAATATCCAGGTATTAATTCCTGATTTTCTCAGGATTCCAACAGGGAAATATCCAGGTATTGATTCCTGATTTTCCCAGGGTCCCACCTCTGCCTTTTCCTCAGGTGCGCCGAGGCATTGTGCGTCACAATCCCTCCAGCTCCCACCTGAACAATTCCCATTCTCATCCCTGGGGAATCAGACCCAGCACTCCTGCGGGATGCAGGGCTGGGATGAGGGAGCGGCATCCCCTCGGGATCCGCATCCATCCCCCCGGGATCCGCATCCATCCCCTCGGGATCCGCATCCATCCCCTCGGGATCCGCATCCATCCCCCCGGGATCCGCATCCATCCCCTCGGGATCCGCATCCATCCCCTCGGGATCCGCACCCACAGCATCCCCAGCGGCCCCCCGAGCAGGCAGCCCCGGTGATGCCGATGCCCAGCCGGGATTTCCCCCCGTTCTCCCCTCTCTTCTCCCGCATTCCCGGCCGCACAGATTCCCCCCGGCTCCTCCCGGGGATTAGAGCGCTTTGCCGAGGGCACCGAGCCCCGAGCGGGGTTTGCAAATCCAATTTGCGCTAAAGCCTCGCGGCGAGGTTTGGCCCGGGATCCCGTCAGGATTTACTGTCCGACCCCGGCCAACACATTGAAGCACTTAGAGCTGCTGCAGAGGAGGAATTCCGGCCGGGCCGGCAGCGGCGGCGAGCTGGGAACGCAGATTGCAGCCAGGGGGAATGCAAAGCTGCGAGATGCTCGGGGGTGTTGCGAAAATTAACCCGCAAACACCAGAGGTTTATGTCCGAAAAGGAGACAGAGGAGTCCTTTCACTTTATTCTAATAAAGGGAGAGGCCATGGGGCATTCTGCTGGGGTGTCTCAAATTTTTGGAGGATGCAGCCTCCCTTTTTATCCCAATTTCTGCATTTCCCTTCTCTCTTCCCAATTTCTGAGGTACTTGTGAGGTTCAGACTTCCCAAAACACCTGATACAAGTAATTCCCCTCTAATGCATAACCCTACCTTTTCATTTTTAATTCTTACTGAATTTAGGGGGTTTTCCCCATTTCTGAGGTACTTGAGAGGCACAGACTCCCCAATACACCTGATACCAGAGATTCCCCTCTACTGTATAACCCTCCCTTTGTTTCTTCCATCTTTCAATGTCTAATTTCATTTACCAGCAAACCCCAAAGTTTACTTGTAAAAGCAAATATCTTTTTCCATTCATCAATCAGTGGAATCCTTCCCATTGTCTCTTTTATCTCCCAGCGCTGGTTTTATCTCACAGCTTGTCTGTAAAGACAAATCCACCATTCCTCCCAGGGGAAATGGGGCTGGAGGCGATGGGGAGAGATGGAGGGTCCCCAAAGGGCAGGAGGTTGGGTCAGGTGGATCTTGGCACGAGGAGATGGTGACAGCAGGGACAGGGACACGAGCCGGAGCTCTCCTGTCCCTGCAGGGAAAACCTGCTGGGATCCCTGAATTTTTAAGGTTTTCCAAGCTTTCTGATGTTTGCATTCTTGTAACAAACTTCCTCGCACACTTTATGTAAATAACTCATTGTTCTGCATTCTTTTATGGAGGAGGAGAAATTTGATGGGCTGTTGGTTTGCCCAGTGGCATTGCAGAGGTGGCACTGTCACCCTCCAACCCACTGTCGCTTTGGGAAATCCATAAATGTTGGAGTCAGCAAAAGAAAGGTCTCTTTTTTACCTTAGAAAGGGCTGTGAGTTCACATCGTGTTGTTTTGCGTCCTAAGGAAATCCCAAGGGATTTGGGATGCAGATGCATCTCGGTGCAGGAATGGGCAGGGAAAGGAGTGGGGTCAACATCTCCTGTGCCAAGGCCAATAGCGGCACTCAGGGACGAGAGGTTTTCCACTGGGAAGAGCCACACGGTTTCCTAAAAAGCAGAATTTCCCCTCTGCTCCCACCCTGGATATCGGTGTGGTAGGAGAGCTGTGGCCTCTCTGCCCTTCCCACCCCTCCTGGCCTCTCCCATGGCTCCAGATTGGGATCGTTGCTCCTGCTGCCATAAAAGCACCGATTACAACTGGAACACAGCCACCAAATCCTGCCCACACTGCCACGGGCAGCCAGGGGCGGGGCAGGTGACACAGACAGGGACAATCTGCACCTTTCCCTGCCCCTTTTCCTGACCCTTTCCCACCTTTGCCAGCGCACAGGCTGGTCAGAGCAACGAGAAATTCAGGAAGGTGCTGCTGGGAGGTGATGGCGCGGCCAAAGGACTCCAGCAAAACGTGGACTGGGGCAATTCCCTGTCCCTGCCCGTGGGAATGGGGCTGGCAGCTGCTCCTGCTGCTGCTCCCGTGCTGGTGGGCAGGGACAGAAAACTGAAGTTTCAGAAATTCAAAGATTGGCTGCCCAGAGCAGCTGGGGCTGCCCCATCCATGGAAGTGCCCAAGGGTTTGGAACAGCCTGGGAGAGTGGGATCCCTGCCCGAGGTCCTTTCCTGCCCAAACCATTCCATGACTCCATGTCCTGCTCCTGGAGACAGGAGGGGATCAGACCACCCTGTCCTCCCCATCCCTCCTCTGTCAGGGAGATCCCACCATGCTGAGCATGGACGCTTTGCCATGCTCAGAGTGTTCCCACCACCCAAATCCTGCCTGATCCTTCCAGCCTCTCCTTTCCCTCCCTAAACTCCTCCAGGACACCAAACAGGAGGGGTTTTGCCCCGGTTCAGGGTGATGCTGTCAGTGCCCAGCTCAGCTGAGCTCTGCTCCTCCCTCATCCTCCCCCAGCGCTGGCACCGTCCCTTCCCAGACCGCTCCGAGGAGCTGCTAAGCCTCAAAAATGTGCTTTTAATGAGCCAACACCACTTAATGAAGAGAGCAGCTGCCCTGTTAAAGCAGGGGCCAGCCCTTCCTCCGGGGAGGACGGCATGGGTGTTCCCAGCCGGGACATTCACATTGAAGGTGCTGTGGGTTCACACCCGAGGCTTGGGCTGGCCTTGGTGCCCCCTGTGCTGCACGAGGACGCGGCCTTGGGAAGGCAGCAGAGAGGGAAAAACCCAAGGAAAACCAGAAAAAGCCACCCCAGAACCTCTCTGGGAGCGTTCCCTGCCTGCGCCTCCCAGCACAGCTTGGGGAACACAATCACTGGGACGGAACCTGCAGGGATTTGGGGTTTTGGTTTGCAGACCCTGCTCTGCTCCAGGGCAGCAGGACTGGGGGGGTCTATCCTGTGCCACGGTGCCCTCAGCCTCCAGGTGCCACCAGCAAATCCCACAGCCCTGGCGGGAGTGACAACAGCAGCAGTAAACACACCCCGGGCTCCCAGGCAGCTCCTTGAGCCAAAACCAACATTTCTAAAGGCAAAAAGGCCCCCACAAGCCATGGGCTTGGGCAGTTCTGCATTGCTGCCATCACCAGCAAGGCCCAGACACGGCAACCATGGAGCAAAGTTGGTTTTCTCGCTGGGAAAGACCAGGGCTGGGTTTACAACCAGCTCCAAACCAGGCCAGGATTTAATTAAGGGACTCCCCAAAGGCTGGAGCCACAAAGGCAGGACCCTGCTCCTGAATCAGCCCCATCCTCAGGAGAGCTCCAGGATGGGTTCATCACCCTGCCCAAGCACCACTGCAACAAAAGCTGCTGAGACAGAGCAAAATGCAATAAAAGGAAAGCAAAATGCAGCTCTTGCTTTGGATTATTGCAGCTGGGGAGCGATGCCGCAGGAGCAGCTTCCCCTCCTGGGACACCCCCGACCCTCAGAGCTGCCCTGCCTCCCTCCCCTGCTCCTGGAGCTGCTCAAAGGGAGCCTCTGCTGCGGGAAATCAAATGAGATGTGGTTCCATGCAGATGGAAACAGCCCAGGGAGCAGCACTGATGTGAGTGGCATCGCCTGCGAGGCTCTGAGCGACGGCGGGAGGAGGAAACGCTTTTTGGAGAGCACCACGGTGGCAAAGGGATTGTTTCAATTTAGCTCTGGGATGCTGGGCTGCAAAGTGAGCCAGCTTTGGGTTTTGTGAGGGAGAGGAGATGGGGATGGAGCTGTTTGTGGTGTTGCCCTTCCCACGGCTCCGCTCCAACGCTGCAGCACGCCTGGCACAGCCAGGAGGGAGCTGCTCGTCCTCTTCCCCAAATTTCACAGGGAAATGTACTCCAGACTGGCCAAATCCCAGAGAAATCAGAGTTGGGTGGGATTCCTCCAGTCCAAGCCATTGATGGTGGGGCTGGAGTAGGTGGCTCACCTTGACCAGGAGACTGGGCCACCCCATGGTTGAGCTCTGGGGATGGCAAGGGATGCCAGTGAAACAAACCCACACCAGTGAAAAAATCCCACACCAGTACAAAAAACCTACACCAGTAAAATAATCCCACACCAGTGAAACAAACCCACAGCAGTGAAAAAATCCCACACCAGTAAAACTAACCCATACCAGTAAAATAAACCCACACCAGTGAAACAAACCCCACACTATAAAAAAAAAACCCCACATCAGTAAACAAACCCACACCAGTAAAAAAACCCCAGACCAGTAAAACTAACCCATACCAGTGAAAAAATCCCACACCAGTAAAACTAACCCACACCAGCAAAATAACCCCACCTCAGTAAAACTAACCCACACCAGTAAAACTAACCCATACCAGTAAAACTAACCCACACCAGTGAAACAAACTCACACCAGTAAAACAAGCCCACACCAGTAAAATAACCCCCACCCCAGTGAAACAAACCCCACACCAGTAAAGCCCTCACCAATCTGGTCCTACCTCACCTCCCGATGGGAACCCACCCAGGGTCTCCTCCCCTCCCCTCAGCATCTCCCTCTCCCTGCTGGGTGCCCTGAGCTGCCCCATGGGCAGGGTGGCATCGAGAGGCGGTGCCAGCTCTCTGTGCCCCCCAAAGGCACCCCTGGGAGGTCATGGCCTGGCTCAGCACGGCAGGGTGGCGAGAGAACAGGGCTCTGAATGGCACCCCCCATGTGCTGCATGGGGACAGCCAAGGTGACACCTGCTCTGGCCACACTGGGCTGTGTTTAGGGCTCATGGCCTCAAAAAGGGGATGTTCCCAACCTTACATCCATCTCTGCAGACCCCCAAAGGTGCAAACCAACCCCACAGCTCATCCTGGAGCCCCCACACCCCGCACAGCCCAAGGGCGCTGCAGGAGGGAGGTGCCCGAGCCCGATGTGACTCATGGCAGTGCCATGGGAGGGCACCCAGTGCCACCAGCGCCGGGCCCAGCACCCGGCACGGGCACCAGGGCTGCCCACCCCCGTCCCTGCGTGTCCCCCGGGCTGTGCCACAGCAAACCAGAGCAGCTCCTTTTATTTCCAGCCCGTCCACGAGGCCTGGAAGGCGCCGGGCTCTGCCCTTGCTGCGGCTCTGCCCGGTGCCCATCCTGCCGGGATGTGCCACAGCTCCCGTGCCCCTTCCTGCGGGCCAGAGCCGGCTCTCAACGCCCAGCCCTGCTTGAAAACCCGGGCTGCAGGGACAGGAGCGTCCAATCCTCCCCCAGCCCCGGAGCTGCAGGGACGGAGGCGCAGGACGAGCCCGGGACCGGCGGTGACACCGAGGGCGTTCACACCGGGGCACGGAGCAGAGCCGGGTGCAGCCCTGCAGCCTCCGCAGCGGGCGGATTTGGGTCGGAACCAAAGGGGAAAGGGCAAATCCGAGCGCTCACACACCCCAAAATTCGGCACAGAGCCGCCCCTTCCCTGCTCGGTGTCTCTGCCCTGCGCCTAAAGCCAGGAGCACCACGAGCACCAGAGGATGAATTCGGGATCCAGCGGGATCCTGCCTTTGGATCCGGGATCTCAGCACATCCAGGACTCCCACGGCGCCTGCAGCAGGCACCAGCCCCTTCTCCCGCCGGGATAAACCGTGCCCGTCACCCAGCGCGGATCGCGGATCGGCTCCCGGAGCGAGGATGGGATTTAAATCAGCGCTGGCTACAAGCTACCATATATGTGCAATAAAGACACCCGAGGTCTGCCTTGTTTTGTTAAAGCCTTCGGAGAGACGGCGGCGAGAGGGGGAAATTCCGTCCCTGGAGGATGGGGGGGATTCACCCCCAGCCCCAGCCGGGCTCCGGGCACGGTCAGCGCTGCGGCGCGGCCGGGCCGGGGGAAGGTGACGATGCCGGCTGGAGATCCTTCCGTTCCTTAAACTAATATTTAGACAGGACCCATCTCCTCCCTCCCGCGCTGCCGGAGCCGTCCCGCGCCGTGTTTGTGTTCCTGCGTGGCGGGACGGGCTCCAAGAATGCAGCAAAGTCCCGCGGCGGCCGCACAGCACAGGCGGCCCCGACCCCGGCGCGGCGCTCGGTGCCCCCGCTCCCCCATCCCCGGGGCAGCCCCGAGGCTCCGGTTCTGCCCCGTTCGGCCGCGGCAGCATCCGACCCGCGGGGGCTCGGCGAGGAATAAACAGCGGGGAAGCCCCGGGGTTGAGACCGGGGGAAGGAGGCTTCACCGGGACCCCCGGAGCCGCCCCGGTGCGGCGGGGCAGGAGCGTCCCTGGCCGGGCAGGTGCCCGGGGCCGGCGCTGCCGAGCCGGGGCCGCCCGCGGCGCTTACCTGGCCGCCGGTGCCGGTGCCGGTGCGCAGCGCTCAGCGGCCGCTCCGTGCCGGGCCCGGGGCACGCGTGGGGCCGGGGGTCGCCATGGACGAGCGGCGCGGGGCTGGCGCGGGGCTGGCGCGGGTCTGGCTCGGCTGGAGCGCGGCGGGGGGGCTCGGCCAGCGCCTCCTCCCGCGCCGGGGGGCGGGTTTGGAGCCGGCCGGTTCCCCCGCCCCGCCCGCTCCCGAGCCGGGCTGCGCTCGCTGCCGCCGCCGGTGCCGGTGTCCGACTCGCCCCGGTGCCTCCCGGTGCCTCCCGGTGCCGCTGCCGCCCGCGCCCCGCAGCCACACGAGTCCGCGGCTCCCCCGGAGGAGGCACCGGCTGCTTCTCGCAGCGGAGCCAACGGGGCCGCCCCGCCCCGCCCCGGTCCCTCCCGGTGCCGCCCCGGTCCCTCCCGGTGCCGGTCCCGCCCCGCCCGGGCTCCGCCAGGCGCGCCGACCCTGCCCCGGTGCTGCCAGCCCCGAGCCCCGGTTCTGCCCACGGCATCGCCCCGATTCGCCACCCTCACACCCCTCGGCGCTGCCGCTGCACCCGGTGCCCGCAGCGGGCAGGGACCGGACCGGGCCCGGTGCCCAAACCTCCCCTCGCTGCGGCACCGAACGCCCTCGGCCATGGGCGCATCCCTCCCTCGTTAATTGGGGGCATTTCGGAGCCGGTCTGGGCAGGGCACGGCGGGGCCGTCAGCAGCTTTCGGGCACAGTCACCGCTGGGTTTCCATCGGGGCTTTCCCCACCCAGGAGCGGGGCAGGATCGCGGCAGGATCGGGGCACGATCCCCGCTTGGCACGGGACAGGCTGGAGGTCGGTGCCAGCCGGGCCAGGCTGCTGAGTGCCTGGGAGACGAGCAGTGATTTTGTACTTTCTGTGTGAGCCCCAAATGGCCTGGTTGGGTTGATGAAATCATTTCCAGCCTAAGCTGGAAAAGCCCTCTCAGCTCATCAGGTCCAGCCGTTCCTCCACCCCTGTCCCCAGGGGCCTCTCCTGCACATCCCCGACATCCCTCCGTGGTGACTCC